CTTATTTAATTTTAATATCAAATTAAATATAGGTAACAGCCTCAACAAATTTAATTGCACTGTGAGATTACCAAAATACCCTTTCGCCCTAAAAGACAAAAATGCCCCTTGCACAAGCTGATTCTTAAATTATCTTCTATGTGTGTGACCCGTAGGCTCCTCATTATACTGGCAGTGTATAGTATCGCGATTAACACCAATTAATCATCTCACTATACACAGACCAAGATTGGCCCCTAGTAAGGTATCATGGCCACTCGATAGATTCGGATTCAACGAAGCAGCTACCTGTCAACGATATGGTTACCGTACAATCTAATCCTTTCATCATCTGTTATCTCAATGAGACTGGGGTATAGAAATAGCATCAACCTCAGTTTACTCTTGATATATTTGTATTCAGTTACTAGACTAATTATCGGAATAGTGAATTGGATTGAGCAACAACTCAATCCCACTGTGATCACAGATTTATTGTCATTGTCATTAACTGAATTGGGCCGTGAGAGAACTTCTCTTGTACCCGAGAGTGATGAATCCTCTGTCGATCCACCATAGTCTTGATACACTCCTGATGCAGCCAATCACTATGTATTGACAACTTTGAATAAAAATGCGTTGGGCTAGTGTCAAACTACACCGATCGGTGTATAAGGCGCTCCGGTGATCTCCAGTCTAAGGATCACATGCACCACCATTCGTTAAAGGATTTTTTCTATAGACACGAGGGTTATCATTTATATGGAATCCTCTAGTGGGTCAGTCTAGTGAACTTGCCTACAGCAAGCACCCATATGTTGCACCAGGTTGTCAACAAACAACCTTGACAAGTGAGATATGCTACTGCCTTTTGACAGGGTCGTTCAATACTATGATAGCCTTATCGTATTATCTGTGCCCTTGGTCAGAATAATGTTGGGGCTACGGACATTTCTAGAATGGCCACTGTATGTGCTCACAGGGTTCTCACTATCAAGATTTGAAACACTTGATACACTCGTCACGGTTCTACCATTCTAAGGACATATATCAATACATACAAGGTTTACATGATACAGTAGATAATATCTTTTATTGACTAACAAACATTATTACAAAGAGTCAATTCCACAATAATTGATTGGCTCTAGGGCACTTACTCCAACAGGGAGATGAGCATAAATGGATTTTATCTTGCACTCATGATGCACCTTAAGTTTTGAAGGATCAAATTCAAGCCTTATGCTTATAGATCAGGTGTTTATTGTGATCGGTGTTGTTTCTTATCAAAGAGTAAAGTGTAGTTTGTGATCAAACAGGAGTGAGAGCAGGGGTTTGAAGAGGTAGTGGTTGTGGTTTTAGCATGAATGGGATATTTGTAATTGGGTTTATGACAATTGTTTTGCCTTCCTAAAAAAGGAATGAACAGGGGTTGTAGGTAAAATTAGAGTTTTGAAATTAAGGAAGGTGTTGTGGGTGATTGATGGATGTTTTGGGTGGGTATTCAGTTATAGGTCGTTTGTTTAATGAGAAATGATGAGTGTGTTGGTAATTGAAATCGTCTATTTGGCTTCTTTTCTTGGTGCTAAAGATACCAATTTGTTCTTGAGGATGACAAGGGTGAGAACCAAGAATGGAATTCATTTCTAATCCAATATTAGGCATGAAAAATAATTATTCAAGAATAATGAGTAAAGTAGAAATCAGGTTGTTTTGTATGAATCTTAGAGAGAAAAGTATGAGTAGAACAAAACTAAACAAAAGGAAATAAGAAAAAAAAAAAAAAAAGGTTTGATATAGCTTAAATAAAGAGCCGAGGGTGGGATTTCTTGATAGAGAAGAAACCGTGCGAGGGAATGAGTGTTTCCTAATTGTGATCCTAGTGTCTCCCGGCTAGTAGAGTTGAGCAAGTGAGAATCATTGTTTTAAATTCGACCCGTTGTGAGACCTGGTAAGGTGATCAGGTTACGGCTCGATCGCCTAGTTGAACCAGTGATGTCAACAGTAATTTTATTTTTAAAAAATTACAAATTAATCTCTTAAATTTTAGTATATTATAAAAATACCCCTAAAAATTTTCAAATTAGTCCTTAAAAATTTTATTTATTTAAAATGCCCCCAACAAATTACCAATTAATCCTTAAACCTTTGACATATCTCCAAAACACTCCTAGAAAATTACTATTAATCCCTATATACTTGAAATATTACTCCCTAAAACCTGAACTGGACCGGAGAAGCTGATGGGTCCTGCTCGGACCGATCTGACCGGCCGATCCAATCCAGGTTTTAAAATAGTGGTGAGAATATGAAATTTAATTCAACATACACCTCATCAAGGATTTAGGGTTGTTCTACCACTACACAACACTACTTCAACTAAAACCCAATCTCATGTTCTTAAATGTGTTTCCTAATTCTAATCCTAGTGGTAACTGGTTAATAAAGTTAGTTCATATGAGAGTATTTCCAAATTGACATTCAACTCCTTTTACTATGTATTCATACATATGTATATAAAGAGTAAAAATCGATTAGCCCTCTATAGTTTGAGAAATGCAAGGTTGTTGGACAATTATTGCAGTTTTAATCAAATTACTCCCAATCATTTCAGAAACTAATCAATTACTTGTAAAAATCCTAAAACCGTCTAACCTCCGTTAAGTACATGGTAATTTCATCCTCTTTCTCCTTTCTCCCTTTCCTTTTTCTACCTTTTCACATTTCTTCCCGTCCTTTTTCTCTTTCTCCCTTCATTCTTTTATTTTTTTCCGTTCTATAATGGTAATTTAGGCTTCCTTAATGTTTGATGATCTACAATATAGTGATGATTTCATGAATAGAGAGACTTTACCATGTATGAAAATCTAGACTGACTATCATTTACTCATTAGATTTTGATTTTAATTTTACTAAAATTAATTATCTGTTTCTTCACTTCATTAACCAATGTTTGGTGTTAATTGTCGCTATGTATTGGTTGAAATAAAGAATTTTGGACGGAAAAATAGTTGTTATGGGAGATTTGATAAAAGGAAAATGTTTGGAGAAAGGAGGAAAAAGAACATGGTGGAGGAGAAAGTTAAAAAAGATGGGAAGAATTGTGAAAAGGAAGAAAAAGGACGGAGAGAAAGGAGAAAAGAAAAGGAAACGGGAGAAAATTACAATTGTACCCTTGTGTATTTAACAAGGGTTACATAGTGTGTTAGGAAAATTTTGCAATATCGGTCACTGATTTTAGTGAGTAATTGATTAGTGTGTTAGGATTTCAGTAATTGATTAGCTTTTGAAACGATTGGGGTTAACTTGATTAAAATTGTAATAGTTGTCCGAAAACGGATTCCCAAAACTATAGGGGGCCTAACTGATTTTTACCGCATGCGCATGCGCACACTCATATAACACTATATACAATCCCTTAAGGCCTTCAATTAATCTATCTATTAACTAAAATAAATGTAAGGACAGAAAAAACCTTTGCTTACTAAATCTTATAATGTACAATGACAAAATATGGAATGCTTTTTATTGATTTCCTTAATCTCTGCTGGCTGAAATTAACCAGTAATTAAAGTTTCAATTAATCAACTTAATTCAAGTGATTGATTGAACAATTACAAGGATTTTTTGTATTTATTACTTTCTTTTTTACATTTACAAAGATGTATAAATTGGCCAATTGTACAACCTTTCAATATACGAAATATACAAATTTCTTCTCTGTTTCTCTTTTCTTGGCATACTCTGGCAGTGTCATTATCTTGAACTGCTTCTCTTTGTCCTGCTCTTTATCTCTATCTCGATTCCTTACATACAATGGTAAAAAGGACTATTGTTGCCCACTAATTCCTAAAATCATTTACAAGTCATGACCAAAACAATTATATTATGATTTTATTTCAATTTGCTAATGAAAATCCCGATTAAACTCATTTTATAATATAGTCTATAATTCTTATTTCGAATTTAGTAAAATAAACCATTTAGGACTCATTATTTTGATTGCTTATGTTACATATAGAAGCATATCCGGAAATTTAGTGTAATTTGTAAAAGGAATTTGTTGATCATTGAGAGAGCAATCACTGCATCACAAAAGCAATCAAGCACTAGTAAAGGTTGAAAGAAACTACCCAACAAGGGTCATATTAAAAATATCTACAATTAGTAAAACATATTTTAGACCAAACAATCAAAACATGCATTTTTTATTTTAACTAATCTTAGTTCAAGAATCGCAAACTCTAATTTTTAAACTATACTTTTAACAATTCCCAAATAGAACAGGTGCTTGATTTGATTTCTGGGCTCCACTTCAAACATTCTCTAAACCCGTTAAAAACCGTTTGATTCATGGACTTCACAATGACTGGGTTTATAACAATCTTCTTCTCCAGGTTTGAGGAATATTTTCTTTTGGGTAAGTTGGTTTGAGGAATATTAATGCACCCAAAAATTTGATTATCTTTTATAAAGACTATAATACCCTTAGTCTAATTACATATTACTTTCAGTTTTTATTTCTTTAATTTTTATTTTAAATATACAAAAATTGAAGAAACAAAAACTTAAAAGAATCTAAAACTTTTTTTTAAAAAGATTTTAGTATCTTTTACCTTAGTATACTTCACTCTTCTATTTTATTTGTTCATTTTTTAGTACGTGATTTTAATTAAATTTATGTTTTATAATTAAACAAAGGATGTTATAGTCTGTGACAAAGTAAGCAATTGTTTGGGTGTATTTAAGGAGGGAATATTATAACCCCCCACCCCACTGTAACTCTCAGTCGTTGGATTAAATTTCATATGTAAATGCACAAAAAAGAGACGGTGAGACCTCCTTAATCAACGTCCAGCTCATCTCACATTCAGACAAAAAATCAGTTATTTGTCTTTCAAAGATCCACTGGGCTCCACCTCATCACATTCCCAACCGTTGATCAGATCTGAACTATAATTTTCCCCTTTTATTTCCTTTCAAAAAAATAAAATAAAATTAAAAAAAAAAAAAAAAAAACTTCTCGCCGTCTTATGATAATTTCACCAGTTCGTGTCACAACAAAATGAACACTCACACGCACAAACAGTTGATAATGTTCGATGCCAGTAACAGAAGAGATTTCTGATGTTGTCTCAAAACCCTAACCCTAACCCTAACCCTGATTTGTTTCTATTATTATTAATTTTTTCTATGAAGTTGAATGGAATCAGAGAAAATTTTACAAAACCCTAGAGCTTCACCTTCACTTGCTTTCAGTGCCAACATTAACAGTAAGGCGATGCCAAATGAGCTGGCGCAGAAGCCGCCGCCGCCGCCGACAATGATGGAAAAGTTTCGAGCGCTTTTGAAGCAACGAGAGGAGGAAGCTAGGGTTTCTTCGGCGGCTGCGGATGGTGACGCCGTGTTTCTCAGTACGGACGAGGTTGTGGAGCTTTACGAGATGATGCTGGCCGAACTCACTTTTAATTCGAAGCCGATTATTACTGATCTTACGATAATTGCTGGCGACCAGAGAGCCCATGGGGAAGGCATTGCTCACGCAATTTGCGCCAGGATTGTCGAGGTATTATATTTGCATTGTTCAATTTTTCTATAAATGATTAATTCAATTTAATTTGTGTTTGACTAATTTTATGGCTTTCTATTTAATTTTATTCAATTCTGTTTTGTCTAGTTTAGTCTGTTGAATTTTTTTTTTTTTTTTTTAATTTAGTCGATTTTACAATTTCAGCCTTTCCTATTTTATTCTGCATTGGCTATTTTTAATTTGAAAGATTTGGTTGGTTGCTGGCAATAAAATTGAAATTGAAAAAAAAAAGAAAAAAAAAAAGCTTTTTCTATCAATATATCTGGGATATCAAACAGTTTTGAAATTTTGGTTTTATTTGTTCTTTTAATTATAATTTTTTTTTCTGGGGAGTGAGGTTGTTCCAGTTTATCTGATTGTTAGGTTTTCATTACTGTGTTGGGTGCTTAGGTCCCAGTTGACCAGAAACTGCCATCTTTATATCTTCTGGATAGTATTGTGAAGAACATTGGCAGAGATTATGTTAGGTATTTCTCTTCTCGTTTACCTGAGGTGAGTTAATTGTAACATATATTACATTTAATTTGTCATATTGCTTTGCAAGCACATGGTTATTAGAAAAATTTTATTTTATTGCAAGCACATGGTTATTAGAAGATTTTTATTTTATCATTTGCCTAGGTATTCTGTGAAGCATACAGGCAAGTTCATCCTAACCTTTATCCTGCTATGCGACACCTGTTTGGAACTTGGTCAACAGTGTTTCCACCTTCAGTCCTCCAGAAGATTGAAACTCAGCTGCAGTTTTCTCCGCAAGTTAACAAACAATCACCGGGCTTGAACTCTTTGCAGGCTTCTGAGTCACCTCGACCAACACATGGCATACATGTTAATCCTAAATACATACGTCAATTGGAGAATTCAGCTCCAGATAATGTAAGCCTTTTCAATTAAATTCTTCTCTCACACATCTCTCTTGCTGAAGCACATGAGGGGTTAGCTGTGGCTTCTGTTTATTAGTGTGGATGTAATATATGAGTTTTATGTTATAGTATTCCATTGGATTATATATGCATCATTTTACAGACAACATTTTGCAGTCATCTTTTTTGGGACCTACTACTAATGGATTTTGTATCACAAAGGTATTCTTGATGAAGTTAATTTACATCTGTCTTTTGGTTGTTTGTGGTATTATTCTTGTTAGATACAGCTAAAAATTGAAAATTCTTCTGAAAAACTTTGTTCCAATTATGAAAGATAATATGTAAAACTTGCTGGCCTCTAGTGCAACTGGTCAGGTTTGTGCCTAATGGCCAACTATATCGCGACATATGCTGATGTGAATTCTCAGATTCAGAATTTAGAGGTCCACCATTAAATGTGCCAACTGTGCATACTGCCTAATTGACCTGATCTACTCTCTGGTAGTGTTTGCCATGCCTTGAATTTCTTTTCTACCAAAAAAGATTTAGAGAGAAGGGACAAAAAAGAAAAAGAGAAAAGAGAAAGAAAGAAAACTATATTGAGAAACGCTAGCTGGATTTGATACTATTTGGTGATACTAGTTTTATGCTGGGATTCTTGGTGTCAAGCTCTCTGCTTATAGATGCATGTTACAGGTTCCAAATAAAGGCAATGCTTATGGAACTTTTGAATGAGAAAGAGCAAACTAGGGCTTCAGAAAGCCTAGAAGGATGGGTTGGGTATTTCTTCAGCATTTCTTGTGTGCATTTTCTCAACAGTCCTATGCATCCATTTCTTTTTCTTTTCCTTCTCCTGTCCGTGATAGAGGGGGATTGGTGTGGTATACCTTTTTCCTGTCAGTGATCTTATTTTTATTGCTTTACCTTAGTGCCAACCTGCTTAGATGATTTTTACAATATTTTCAGCTATTGAGTTATCTATTTTTGTTCCAAATGTGCATAAGTAGAAAGTATTTGACATCTAAAATTTGAAAATTGTTTATACGTGTTGCAGAATATTCAGCATGTGAGAGGAACATCTTCAAGTGTAAAAATATATGGTCAGAAACCTGCCATTGGATATGATGAATTTGATGCTGATCGTGCAGAGGTTACATCATCGCATGTTGGAGCCCAAAGATTGAATTCAATAGGTAGTGTTGGTCGTGCTGCATCTTTTGCCCTTGGAGCGAATAAGCTGCATCCTTCTTCAACTTCTAGACTGGCGAGACCCTTGTCACCCTCAAGAATTGGATCTGATAGAATTTTATTATCTGAGGGTGATGAATTTGCAGTAGAAAATTCTCCTAGACGGCTTGATGTGGCTTCTCCATCGCATCCTGTGTTTGATTATGGATTAGGCAGAGCAACCAGCAGAGATGATGAGATAAGTGAATGGCGGAGAAAACAATATTCTGATGATAATCACAAAAGATTTGAAACTTCTACTTCTTACAACCTTAGCAATGGACGTGAGCATCAGGGGCCTAGAGCTTTGATAGACGCATATGGATGTGACAGAAGAATTTCAAATAATAAACCTCTGCAGGTTGAACGCCTGAATGTAAATGGAATGGGCAATAAGGCAGCACCAAGATCATGGCAGAATACTGAAGAGGAAGAGTTTGATTGGGAAGATATGAGCCCTACATTAGCAGATAATGGCAGGAAAAATAATTTCTTGCCATCATCTGTTCCACCTTTTAAAAACACTAGTGCAAGGCTTGACTTAAGAAAATTGGGTGCTGGCACATTGGAACCTGATATTAGGAGCAATCACTCCAGTCAGGCGCAGCTACCGTTGATGGATGATTCTTCTACAATTGCTGAAGAGGCAGTCTCTGCGCTTGGTGTATGTTTCTTAATCTGCTTGCTGTGCCCCCCTTGTTCTGTAGATCTTTTTGTTAAATAGATTCTGTAGAATGTTTTTACTTGCAAAATTTTTCTTATGTAGGTTGGTCTGAATTGTACATGTTTGTCATTATGTTTATTATAGATCCCCCTGACATAAAGGGGTGATAATAATAAGTATAATGTATAGGAATCTGACTGTTGTTTGTTAGAAGTGTAAGACATCATATGCTGGCCATACGTGTCTCTCATTCGATGTGGCTTTTCAAGAAAGCCCTTTATCCGTTCATTGAAACCAAACTAGTTATTTATATGATGAAATTTCTTTTTTCTTTTTGTTTGTCAATTCTATTTCTATATTTAACATGGAAAAAGTTATTGTTGATTTCTATAAGAAATATATATTTTATAATTGATCGTTTAGTTTTCAATTTCTATCATGCATTTTAAAGGTATTATTTGTTTCTTGCAGTCTGGCCGTGGATTGACAATTAAGATATCTGGCTTTCAACCTGAGCCAAATCAGAATTTGGGTCCACGTTATCCACATGAAGCGTGGAATATGCCACATCACTTCTCTCGGTCATCACACCCTCTGAATTCCAGGAGAGGGAGGGGAAGGGATTTCCAGTTGCCCTTTTCAGCAGGTTCTGTATCTTCATTGGGTGCTGACAAAATGGCTCCATTTGTTGACAAGCTTCCTGATGTTGAATCACAGTTCGTCAGGCCCCCTGCAGTTGCTTCTAGGATAGGTTCTTCTGCTCTGGACTCAGTTAGTGCTGGGGCATGGTCAGCCTCCATATCGTCATCAGCTGGGGTATGGCCTCCAGCAAATGTGCATAAGTCTCATCCACCACCTGTTCACCCTGTGTATTCACTGCAGAAACAGACCCGGAGTCAGTATGATTCAACAAATTCTGCCAGTAATGTCATGAATCAAGGTCCAAATAAGTTGTTGTATATGCCTGAGCAGCAATTTAATAGTTCTGAGGGCAAGGAGCTAAGTTTGCTGAAGCCACCACAATTGCATGATCAACATGCTAATTTGAACCAGCAAAACCAGGCCCAACAACAATTCCTTCCTTCTCAGGAGGCTCACAATAACTTTCTTCCCTCTGTCACAGCTTCAGTCCCACCTCACCTACTGGCACCACCAGTGAATCATGGGTACAATGCTATCATGAGTATGGTTCCATCAAATCCAGTTCCTGCGGTGCAATTACCTTTACCAATCCAAAATTTTCAGAACAGCTCCTTACATTTGCAGGGGGGAGCTTTGCCACCTCTTCCTCCAGGCCCGCATCCATCTTCTCAAATGATACCCATGCCTCAAAGTGCTGGCCTTGTTACCCCTGGGCAACCACCAAGCACTGCATTTTCTGGTTTGATTAATTCTCTCATGGCTCAAGGATTGATCTCATTGACAAAACAAGCCTCTGTACAGGTATTTATCTGATTTCCATTATCCTGTATCTTCATTTTTGTGTTTTATCCCTTTTCCCTTATAATAGTTGCCTTATGCAATGTAAGGTTGTGAATAAAGTAATTTAATGTCCAGGATTCTGTTGGACTGGAGTTTAATGCTGATCTTCTTAAGATCCGCCATGAGTCTGCAATAAGCGCCCTATATGGAAATCTTCCAAGACAGTGCACCACTTGTGGCCTACGGTTCAAGTGCCAAGAAGAACATAGTAGTCATATGGATTGGCATGTGACTAAGAACAGGATGTCCAAGAATCGAAAGCAGAAACCTTCTCGCAAGTGGTTTGTAAGTGCTAGTATGTGGCTCAGTGGTGCTGAGGCATTGGGTTCTGATGCAGTTCCTGGATTTTTACCCACTGAGACCATCGTGGACAAGAAGGATGATGAGGAATTGGCTGTCCCTGCTGATGAAGACCAGAATGTGTGTGCATTATGTGGAGAGCCATTTGATGATTTTTATAGTGATGAGACAGAGGAATGGATGTATAAGGGGGCTGTCTACATGAATGCACCTGATGGGCCTACAGCTGGCATGGATAGGTCTCAGTTAGGTCCTATAGTGCATGCTAAATGCAGATCGGAGTCTACTGTGGTTCCCCCTGAAAGTTGTATACATGATGAAGGGGTATGCATCTATATTTCATTTACTGCTTTAATCATTCATTTTCGTTGGAAAGTCCTGTAGATCATCATTATCAATTCTGGTAGTTTCTTTCCATTTAATGTGTTTGTTATGTATTGGAGTATCTATTAATGGTCATCATAAACTCTGGATAAGTACAATTTCTTAAGTTAAGCTATAGTAGTAATCTTCTAGTGCTTTTTAATGTTGTGATACATCTATGTCCCCTCTTGGTGACAAAAATGAACTAGTAACAAGTAATGGACTTGGTTGATGGATTGCAGCATCACTACTTTATATGTCCCTTGATTTATGTGGTTAAGAATAAATTGTTATTTGGACTTGGAAATAGTTTTTACTGGCACATCTTCTTCTACAGTAGTTTATTCTCTGCTGGCTTAGGAAATTTATTTAACAGAATGCTTTCGTCTCTCCTTCATCTCAAAAGAAAATTTGTTGTGGAACTGAATTTCCATGCCCAAGGGTTTCATATGCATTCTGAAAATGAATTAGAATTAGAATGATTATGGCAATTAGTTTAGGATGAGTAGATGGAAATTTATTGTGCGACTGAATTTCTGGTGTCCAAAGTTGTAGATGCACTTGGACATGAATTAGAATGAATAGAAGGATTATGGCATATAGTTTAGGATTAGTAGATTAAATTTTGGCTGTTGACATATATTACTAGTTCCAATAATTGCTGAATCCCTGAACCTTTGTGCATGATTTTGTAAAAATGGTTTTTGGACAACTGGGTATTGGGTCTGTCTTTATTTATTATTCATAAACTTGATATTTAATATGTTGGTTTTACATTGTATTATGCTTTTTGTTACTTTTAACTGTATAGTTATGTTAGAATACATTCGATTGCATGCTCAGTTGTTTCAGTACTTTTGGTATATGCTTTCTGCATGTTGTCGAGACACTTGTAACTAAAAGATTGGATGCAAAATTCTCTTATTCTTACAATTTGTTCACTTGTGACTTGCAGGGAAATACTGAAGAGGGTAGTCAGAGAAAAAGAATGCGGAGTTAGCTTCTAGTAGACGGCTTCAAAATCTTTTGTAACTTACTGAGTTTGTTAGTGGTAAGCTCATAATTTCGAATTAGTTGGAGATTGAAGTACCTTGGCTTTACGCCAGAATCATGTACATGTATAGTTGGATTTGTATCATGCACATTATCTTGCAGAAAAGCTTACAAATTCTCTTGCAGAAAAGCTTACAAATTCTCTTGCAGTCTTACCTTTTTAGCTTGTCCCGTTGTCAAAACTCCTAGAGGAAATATAGACCATTCTTTATTGTGTTAACAAGTTATTGTTGGGGTTTAAAGAATGAAAATGTGATGTGGGCGTGGGCATGGGAAGTAGTTTTGCACTTTTAACTAGATAGATGAATAAGAAAAGGGAAAGAAGGGGGGTGTTCAATGAAGTTTAAAGAAGCCATTTAAACTTTGTTCTGAGGAGTTTCTGCAAAATATGTTTTCTTTGTTTTGTTTTGACATTGTGTAGGGATGTACAGAGAACTTATTCTGGTTACAAGATTCTGTGCAACGACCTCTTTCTCAGTTTGTTGCAACTGATGGAACCAACAGTGATCACTGTGAAAACTCTTGAAGTTACTTTATTTTTTTATGATCAAGGTTATCGTACCTCGAATTTCAGTTGCAAGTTGTTTAAAGTGGAGCAGTTTATTTTAGTTTGTTGTTTTGATATTATAGAATTTTACTTGTTAATCAGAACATATGTAGTTGCTTCCTTGGTCAATACAATTATGTTTCTGTTAAATTTTGCATATGCTGTGCAGAGTTGCATTTTTAGATTTCAATTCTAGGGATGTAAAGAAAACTCGGCCCCGCTCGGGCATATATAACACACGGACGTGGGTTTGGAATATCAGGCACAGAATATACCGGGTTGGGTTCTGACAGTAAAGCCCTGGGTCCGGCCCGGCCTGCCCCTGGTATATTTTATAAGGTTTGTAAAATTATTAAAACCCCTAAAAAGTTAATATTACCCCCTTAAAAGTTTAAAAAAGCTCAAATAAATTATATTCAGATACTTTTTAAATTGTAAAAGTTCTAGTAATCCCCTATAAAATTATGTACAGGCTCCATTTATAATGTAAAATTTTACGATGTGTTGTTTTATTATTTTGAGTAAGATTTTAAAAAAAGATGAGTTGTGTTGTCATTACGAAATAAGATTTGAAAATTGATAAAATATTCTTTAGGTTTATTAATTTAGTTAAACACCCTTTATAATAAAAAGTTTTGAAATAAAAACATCTTCATTAAGCCCCATTTGCCAGATTTCGGCCCTATAAAATAATGTGTATGATGGTGAGGGTGGTGTATGATAGTGAGAATGGCCTGGACAATTTATTAAGCAGGTGGTGGGCAAGGTGAAAATGGCGAATTCCACAACCAATAAGCTCAATCGGCAAATCCATTTTAACACATCCAAAACAACTTCTCCAATCAAATTTCACACTAGATGGGCAGCAATCTCTCAACCAACACAACAAGCAATAATCCATAACAGATTGATTTTAGTGGGAAGGATCTTACCAGTAATAGAGAAAACCGATTGATTTTAGAGTTGAAATAATCTGAAATGCTTTGCAGATTGGGGCAAAAGCCACCATCATTGGGAAAGGAGACGGCGAGAAGAAGTGGCAGCTGACAGAAAACCAGTCGGCTGAAGTGGTGGTCAACGGTGACTAAGGCTGTCAAATTTAGAGGTTAGGGTTTTTTCAATTGAAATTGGGTTTGCCTTTTACGAATTTTGAACAATTGTTTTGATAATTCGATTAATTGGGAATTGGGGGTCATTTGTAATTTTTGCAAACTTTTACATGTCAATTTTTAACGCCCCCAATACTTGTACATTTTGCCCTAAAACCCATTCGAGCCAGTTAAAGCTCGTGAGCTTAGTCGAGCCGAGCTGGGTGATACTCGAACTTGACTCAACCCTTACAATGAGTTGCTCGCGAGCCGGCTTGGCTTGAATGCTCTCGAGCCGAGTTGAGCCTGAGTATTTAACGATCTAAGTCAAGATGGCTTGCGAGTGGCTCGAGTGATAGCCCTAAGCAACACCAAGACAATAACTTTGAGGAACAATTTTTTGTTTTGGTATATGAAGATGAGAAAGAGTGTCCATTGTGTATGGAGGGATTTGATGAATGTTTCGATAATGACACAAACGATTTAATGTACAGAGTGTGAAACTCAAAGAGAAAGACGAATTTTTGAGAGAAATTCTGATATTATATTTTCATTAACTAAACTGATTACAATCAATATGGCTCAGCTCACCTTTATACAAAGAACGATTTGGTGAGTGAGAGAAACAGAAACCAGTAAAGCAGAAATGGTAAAGGCAGAGAGAGACGATGGGCAGAGAGATACAACACCATTTCGACTTAAGTGGAGAAGAAAAGGTGAAGGCAAAAATGACACCGTTTTTGCCTTTTACAATAAATGGGCAACATGTTCTGGTCAACATGCTCCCTCAAACTAGACTACTTCTTCCCACTCTTACTTCTAGCATCATGTACTAACATTCCCCCTCAAAGTAAACACCTCTGGTACTTCTTATACTTCTGGGAAAGATGCCACTGTGGTCTGGACTTTAGCCTTTAACTTGATTCAGTAATTCAACAATTTAACACCAATACTACAGAGGAAAGTTGAATGAAATTGCAAGGCAAATACAAACACCAAATGCTAATACCAAATACCAGTGCACTACTTTGCATTTTCAACACCATTACACCATTACACCAACTTGTGCACCAATATGCATTTTAACACCAAGTACCAGTGCACTACTATGCGTTTTCAACACACACACACACACACACACACACACAAAAAAAAAAAAAAAAAAGACCAGTACACAACTATGCATTTTCAACACCAAATATCAGTGCACAACTCTGCATTTTCAACACAAAATATCAATGCATCAATCTGCATTTTTAACACCAAATATCAACTCTGCATTTTCAACACCAAATATCAGTGCACCAATCTGCATTTTTAACACCAAATACCAGTGCACTACTCATTGCATTGTTCTGCAACATGTTAAACACCACTTTTACTGCAACATCAAAAACCACTGCCGCCATGAGTCTGCAATAAGCGCCCTATATGGAAATCTTCCAAGACAGTGCACCACTTGTGGCCTACGGTTCAAGTGCCAAGAAGAACATAGTAGTCATATGGATTGGCATGTGACTAAGAACAGGATGTCCAAGAATCGAAAGCAGAAACCTTCTCGCAAGTGGTTTGTAAGTGCTAGTATGTGGCTCAGTGGTGCTGAGGCATTGGGTTCTGATGCAGTTCCTGGATTTTTACCCACTGAGACCATCGTGGAGAAGAAGGATGATGAGGAATTGGCTGTCCCTGCTGATGAAGACCAGAATGTGTGTGCATTATGTGGAGAGCCATTTGATGATTTTTATAGTGATGAGACAGAGGAATGGATGTATAAGGGGGCTGTCTACATGAATGCACCTGATGGGCCTACAGCTGGCATGGATAGGTCTCAGTTAGGTCCTATAGTGCATGCTAAATGCAGATCGGAGTCTACTGTGGTTCCCCCTGAAAGTTGTATACATGATGAAGGGGTATGCATCTATATTTCATTTACTGCTTTAATCATTCATTTTCGTTGGAAAGTCCTGTAGATCATCATTATCAATTCTGGTAGTTTCTTTCCATTTAATGTGTTTGTTATGTATTGGAGTATCTATTAATGGTCATCATAAACTCTGGATAAGTACAATTTCTTAAGTTAAGCTATAGTAGTAATCTTCTAGTGCTTTTTAATGTTGTGATACATCTATGTCCCCTCTTGGTGACAAAAATGAACTAGTAACAAGTAATGGACTTGGTTGATGGATTGCAGCATCACTACTTTATATGTCCCTTGATTTATGTGGTTAAGAATAAATTGTTATTTGGACTTGGAAATAGTTTTTACTGGCACATCTTCTTCTACAGTAGTTTATTCTCTGCTGGCTTAGGAAATTTATTTAACAGAATGCTTTCGTCTCTCCTTCATCTCAAAAGAAAATTTGTTGTGGAACTGAATTTCCATGCCCAAGGGTTTCATATGCATTCTGAAAATGAATTAGAATTAGAATGATTATGGCAATTAGTTTAGGATGAGTAGATGGAAATTTATTGTGCGACTGAATTTCTGGTGTCCAAAGTTGTAGATGCACTTGGACATGAATTAGAATGAATAGAAGGATTATGGCATATAGTTTAGGATTAGTAGATTAAATTTTGGCTGTTGACATATATTACTAGTTCCAATAATTGCTGAATCCCTGAACCTTTGTGCATGATTTTGTAAAAATGGTTTTTGGACAACTGGGTATTGGGTCTGTCTTTATTTATTATTCATAAACTTGATATTTAATATGTTGGTTTTACATTGTATTATGCTTTTTGTTACTTTTAACTGTATAGTTATGTTAGAATACATTCGATTGCATGCTCAGTTGTTTCAGTACTTTTGGTATATGCTTTCTGCATGTTGTCGAGACACTTGTAACTAAAAGATTGGATGCAAAATTCTCTTATTCTTACAATTTGTTCACTTGTGACTTGCAGGGAAATACTGAAGAGGGTAGTCAGAGAAAAAGAATGCGGAGTTAGCTTCTAGTAGACGGCTTCAAAATCTTTTGTAACTTACTGAGTTTGTTAGTGGTAAGCTCATAATTTCGAATTAGTTGGAGATTGAAGTACCTTGGCTTTACGCCAGAATCATGTACATGTATAGTTGGATTTGTATCATGCACATTATCTTGCAGAAAAGCTTACAAATTCTCTTGCAGAAAAGCTTACAAATTCTCTTGCAGTCTTACCTTTTTAGCTTGTCCCGTTGTCAAAACTCCTAGAGGAAATATAGACCATTCTTTATTGTGTTAACAAGTTATTGTTGGGGTTTAAAGAATGAAAATGTGATGTGGGCGTGGGCATGGGAAGTAGTTTTGCACTTTTAACTAGATAGATGAATAAGAAAAGGGAAAGAAGGGGGGTGTTCAATGAAGTTTAAAGAAGCCATTTAAACTTTGTTCTGAGGAGTTTCTGCAAAATATGTTTTCTTTGTTTTGTTTTGACATTGTGTAGGGATGTACAGAGAACTTATTCTGGTTACAAGATTCTGTGCAACGACCTCTTTCTCAGTTTGTTGCAACTGATGGAACCAACAGTGATCACTGTGAAAACTCTTGAAGTTACTTTATTTTTTTATGATCAAGGTTATCGTACCTCGAATTTCAGTTGCAAGTTGTTTAAAGTGGAGCAGTTTATTTTAGTTTGTTGTTTTGATATTATAGAATTTTACTTGTTAATCAGAACATATGTAGTTGCTTCCTTGGTCAATACAATTATGTTTCTGTTAAATTTTGCATATGCTGTGCAGAGTTGCATTTTTAGATTTCAATTCTAGGGATGTAAAGAAAACTCGGCCCCGCTCGGGCATATATAACACACGGACGTGGGTTTGGAATATCAGGCACAGAATATACCGGGTTGGGTTCTGACAGTAAAGCCCTGGGTCCGGCCCGGCCTGCCCCTGGTATATTTTATAAGGTTTGTAAAATTATTAAAACCCCTAAAAAGTTAATATTACCCCCTTAAAAGTTTAAAAAAGCTCAAATAAATTATATTCAGATACTTTTTAAATTGTAAAAGTTCTAGTAATCCCCTATAAAATTATGTACAGGCTCCATTTATAATGTAAAATTTT